TGCGTAAGGAGGTGTGACGGGAGACTGGGGCGAATGTTTCTGTGTAGTCAGTTCCGTATCGTTGATCGAAGCCTCGTACGACCCATCGAGCCTTGAATCGTTCGACGGAGCCGTCCGCATTAGTCTTGATGCGGTACACCCACTTTCCCGAGAGTACATTCTTCCTGTTGATGTTCGTTGCAGGTACCAGCTTCCATGTATTTCGGTCTTGCAGAGCTTTCAGTTCCTTTTCCATTGCCTCCTTCCATTTCGCCTTATGTTCCCCCCCCAGAGCCTGCGACAGAGTCGTTGGCTCGCGCGGAGACGGCGGCGGCGGGTGCTGGACGGAGACCCAGAGGCCGAGTATCTGCAGTCCCGTGGGTGTGTGTCGAGGGGAATTTTCATTCCCGGAATAGGCTGCTTCGTCACCATCTTCTGGATCAGGTAAGAAGTTTGGGCCGATGCGTTCTGAGACATTCGTGTCGACCGGGTGAGGTGTAACGTAACCTTGGTCAGCGAAGTGGTAATGGGTGTCGAGGTTGTTGCTATCGAGAGGATTGTCGTCGTCGAGTGGAACAGGTACGGAACAGTAAGGGAGTGGTCCAGCAGCTTCCGAAGCTCCAGGTACGTCTTGTTCTGCTGCGTCAGCTTCGGCGGCACGGTCGGCGAAGGACCGAAGGCCTGCGAAGCCGTCGGTGGGGTCGTCTGTGTTGGCGATGTTGTCCAGGTAATGCTGCAGCGTCAGTCGCTCGTAGAAAATCACATCACGTGATGCCACGGTATTTTGTCTTGTATGTCGAGGAGTTTCCATGCTTGGAAATGTTTGGAGATGCCAAGGTGTAGTCCCCACCGTGCTCGTTGAGTGAAGCGTCCTGCTCGGGCTGTGTGGGGTCTGTACTGTACCATGCAGCCGAAAACCCGAAGTAATTTTGTGCTGCCCCTTTTTCGTGTCCACAGCAGATGTGGTGATGCGTTGTTGGGAAGCGAGGACGAGGATAACAAATTGTGCAGGTGAACTACATGTGTCATCGCGTCTGGCCACAGTGTGTTGGGCAGTCTCATCCCCAGGAGCAGCTTTCGCATCGTCGTCTGCAAGGTCCGGTTCATTCTTTCTGCGACCCCCTGCTGCAGGTGAGCGTAGGGCAGAGATACCAGGCGTCTGATTCCTCTTTCCGCCAAGTAGTTCCTGAATCGTTGTGACTGGTATTCCAGTGCGCCGTCTGACTGGAAGCTCTTGAGTTTAGTTCCTTATTCTCGTTCAGCGATGGGGAGCCACGTCGTGAAGGCTTCGAAGGCTTGATTGCGTGTCTTGAGGTTGTAGTGCCAGACATATCTTGTTGCTGCATCGATGAACGTGATGACATAGTTGAAGTCGGCTTCACTGTCGTCTCGAGGCATGTTTAAGATGTCGCTGTAAACCTTTTCCATCGGTGCGTATGCAGGTGCGCTTGGGTTGTGATGTAATGGAAAAAGGTTGGTGGGGAAGATCGGCTTCCGGGGACGTGAAGCATCGTGCGCGTGGTCGTTGAAGTTCTTGGCCGCTCATTATAAGAAGAGCGTTTCGTTCTAACACTTCGGCTTGGATGGTTTGTAGTAGTGTGCTGTTTGCAGGATGTCCGAGGCGTTGGTGCCAGATGTCGTCGGGAGCGCAATGGCCGGGCGAGCGGTGGTACATATCGGTGTTGGAGAAGAACTCGACGACCGTGGCGGGACTTCGGCAGACTTCTCGTGTGATGGGCATAAGTTGATCTGCTTCGGTTGGCGGTCCTCAGATTGCTGGTGATGGTACTCGGCTGGGTCCCGCTGTTGTTACTTCAGGTGATGTCGAGGAAGGGACGCTTGCTGGTACTTGTCTTTCTTGTCGAATGACTGCTAACGCTCGTGTTCTCTCTGCTGCAGGTATTGTGTTGGAGTACCAGAAACCATCTTGGGTGAAGTCGGGGTCAATATCCGGCGGGTGCGTCCATGCGGCGAACGACACGATGCCATCGCTGTCCGCAGTACCGCGGTCGGGGACGAAATGCAACACGAAGGCGCCCGACTTCAGGAGAGCGCGACCGATAAAAAGACCGCCCTTCCCGTGGTAAAGGCGAAATTTGTTGGATTCCGAGTCGCATTCCAGGTGAATCCCTTTTGCCATTAACTGGCTGACGCTGAGTAAGTTGTATCCCAAATTGTCGACGATGAGAACTTTGTTGAGTTGCAATATAACGTTTGTCTCCATGGACTGCAACTGAACCACTCCTTGTCTGTTGGTTTTCAGGTTCTTGTTGTTGGCGACGGTGATGATGACATCGCGGTTGAGACGTCGCTCTCGTTGTACGAAGCGCCCAGAAGAACACATATGTTGGCCGCAACAGCTGTCCAAGAACCAAGTGTTTCGCCCGGTGGGTTCGGCGTTGGCGACTACAGCGTACGTTGGGTTGACCTGAAGTCCTTGTGAGCACGGCGGCGACAGTTCTTCTTCATCTGGAGCGTAAGTGGGCGGTGATCCAGGTGCGCAATTGTCGATGTGTACCATGCAATTGATTATGTTTGGTGTACTTTGTGCAGATGTGGAGGAACGCCTCGGCGGGCTTTCTTGAGTGGAAGCGACTTGTGGGGCTACTGGGCGATAAGCTCGGGGACGTGTGCAGTTGACTTTGGAGTCTCCGGATGTTTGACAGTTGTGGCAGAACAGCGGCACAATGGTGAGTCCTCTGTTGTCGCGTTGATCTTCTTTGCCGCGTCGGTTGTAGTTGTTGTCGTTCCTTCGTTGAGTGTAGAAGACTAACGGTTGCTGTTTCCTTGGTTGTCTTTCTTCAAACAGGTCCATCTCTTGTTGTTCAGCATGGAGCTCGGCGCAGAGGTGCATCTCCGAGATTCGTCCGTGGGCGCGAAGAAGCGAGCGGGTGGTTCTCCATTCTGGCCCGAGCCCAGCGAGGACAAGCGTCACGAAGCTTTCTTCAGTGATTGTTCCTCCGCACCGAAGCAGGCGGTCGCGGAGTGTCTGGCAGCGAATCATATACTGTATCGCCTTTTCCCCGGTCTTCATCTGTATTGTTGTCAGCTGCTGCATGAGTCTGCTTTGTGTCACGCTGTCGTTTGCTTGATAGAGACACTTGAGGTGATGCCATGCGAGTTCCGCGGAGTTTCCATAGCTCCGATACGTTCTGATGCTTTGCTGTTCTTGTGGTGACAGGTTCCGTAGGAGAACTGTGTACGCCAGCAGCGACTGATACGTTAAAATTTCTTGCTCTTTTGCAGTGCCATTGCTTGGAAATTGCAGGGACCCGTTGAAGTATCCCAAGAGATGCGCGGCCTCCATCAGCAGCTCGAACTCGAAGCTCCAGGTAAAAAAGTCGTGTCCGTTGAACGGTGAGGATGTCTGCAGTTTTATCACGTGTGAAAACTGCGCATGGAGACTTAGTATGTCGTTTGGTGTTTGTTGTGATGCAGCTGCTGTTGGTTGGGCACGGGGCGGCATGAACTCGAACGTCCCCGGTGAAGAGTGGTAAGGCGCAAAGGTAGGCGCTTGATTGTGTCGCCCGAACGATGAGTTGTCGAGACTCATTGGCGCTAATCCCATGTTTCCTCCGTTGCTCTATGTTGAATGCGCAGGTGTCCTTGTCTGCTGCTGCTGGTCGAAGTGCGACATGAAGCTGAAGAACCTTTCCATAAGGTTCGGGTCCACGCTTGAAGAGGGTGATGGGGTCACCATTTCCGGTGCTCTTCCTGTTGTTTCTTGAGCAGTGCCGGTCTCGGTTTGCAGTCCTGCAGTGTGCAGTCCAGAGTTGCCGGGTTGAGTGTCTTGGGCACTGGGTGAGCCCGTAGAGGTTTTCTTGCCCTTGCTGTCCATGACTTGTAATCAATGAAGTCGTTGGTGTGCTGATTGTAGATAGAGCGTAGTTGCTGGGAGTTTGGTCTCTGACCAGCTCTGATACCATGTTGGGCTGAGAAAAGCCCTTAGGATCTTTCCAGAGACTGAGTCCCAGTTGTAAAGGAGACTTTGAGTAGTGCAGCGGAAGTTGAGTGGTTGAACCCTTGTACTAGTATGTGAGAACAAGTGATTGATTAAAGAAACAAGCATACAGCAATATATAGAAAGTAGGAAAGTAAAGCAGTTGTAGAATACAGTTGAAGAGCGGTTATCGAGTCGCACATCGACTCAATTGTCGCTTCGGTTACCATCCTTGCAGTTGTAACGGTCAGTCGCAACCTCCGGTTGCGACCCTTCGAGTCCTTTCGTGTTCTTTGTCCATCCCCTCGTGTAACCTCCGTTGACTCGCGTACCCGTTACGATCTTCATCGAGTGTGGTGTTACACTTCAGAAACGCTGAAGTCCTCGAGATATTTCCAACAAGTTGTACGCTAGTGCGTATACCCGAACTCCTTGACTTGTCACGTTCGGCCTCATTTGTCGGCCCAACCCTTTCCCGAGTCGCGTCCGGCTCTTTCGCCACATTTGCCGAACCTACCCACGTTCCGAGGTTATCACCCTAGCACACCAACCCCTATATAACCTCGTGCCTTCATTGCAATAGAGACCTTGTATTCTCACGTTATATTCCATTGACACTTTCTATATCATACAACTGTACCTCCAATGTGGTACACTCGTTATAGACCTTCATTGGCGGTAAATTCCCAAATCATTGGCGGTAAATTTCCAAGTGTGTTAGTCAGAGGTGCTGGGCGAAACCAGGCTGATCCTGTGAGGCTTTCGCCACGAGCCGAAGTTCCCCGCTCCCCACAGCAACATCCCCTTTACTGGCTACAGGTACCTCCGCGAGGCTGCTTGAAACTTCTCCCCCCCCCCCTCTTTCGCCCTCCACCTCCCGCTCCCCCTTTACCTCCCAAACTTTCCGCCCCAGCGACTGCTCCCCAAGCTCCGCACGAGCGCAGGCATTGACTGGGGAAAAATCGCGAGTCACATCACGTCGCTCGTTGGCTCCCTACTCCGTCGCAAAAACCGTCGCAACACCTCAGTCGTGCATCTTCAAGACGACTTGGGGGTTGTCGCTGACACGGAATTCCGATCCGACATCGTCGCAGGTCAGGCCGCGAAAGAACATGACCAGCAACTTGCTGCGCATCTGGCGGTTCTGCGATGACGAGATCAATCGTGCGAGCACCCAGGCTTAGGCTTGCGGTCATGCCCCTGAATCTCATTTGAGATCACTTACTCTTCACACTGATAATCCGTCACTCTACGTAGCCGAGGTCCATTCCGCGTTTCGTTAGGTCTGTAACTTATCACTGCTAAGACGTGACCTAAACCCTGTCGAACAGGTTGAAAGATTCCATGGCTACGCGTGGAATCCACCGACCGCAATAGAGCCCAGTCCGTCCTTGGTCCAAGCTCGATCCGACGCCTACATTGTGATAACTCGTACCCGATAACGCGGCACTTGCTGCCGTACGATCCCGCGACAGTTGATCACAGAAAGTGCAGCCATGACAGGGAAGAAGAAACACTCGCGAGTATTTAGGGTAGTGAGGGGATTCGGCGCAGCGCTGCTGCTCGTGCTCGTCTTAAAGCCCATCGTGCCGTGCCTGTGGTCGCGAGAGCCCGGCTTCTGCCCGATTCTCGAGGGCCCGTCCCTGGCTCGCCGCGAGGCCAAGGAGGCCGCCGATGCGGGCAAACTAGGGCCGGGAGCTGAAACGTCGGGCGGCGGGAGCAGCATTTCGGAAACGATTAAGAGCGATAGAGGGAAGATGGAGGAGTTGAATGTGGCTCACCCGACAGGCGACAATAGCAGGGAGCTAGCTGCTGCGCAGATCGCCTTATCCGCCGAACTCGACACACCTACTAACGGGGATAATGTGCCCTCGCACGCGAGGAGCGCGGGAGGGGACGAGAAGGAGGAGGAGTCGGTGCGGGCGGCGCGCGAGGCGATGACGGAGGGCGACAAGGAGCGCGCGGTGAAGGCGCTGTGGCGCTGCCAGGGCGGCTCTGGCGCCGTCGACTGCTCTGAGCCGCGCGCCGTCATGCTGGCCGAGGTGAGCTTATAACGGGAATGCGGTGTGCGATTGGAGGACAATGAAGGAATGTAGTTGGTTGCGGTGAGGCAACTTACTGTGAGTGAGTGGGTGGGTGAGCGGGTGTTGCGTGGATGTGCTGTGACTAGGTTGATGCACCGTCCGTCAGTCAATGTGAGTGAGTGGTTGCGCCACAATCGAGTCGTCTCATAACGAGCAGGACAGCCTCGGTATCGAGTACGAGAGAAGAGACAGGCACATGTGGCTGACGTCAATGCAGTAGCGCTGTGTGCGTTGCGCTTGAGAGCACGGACTTACTGGTGCTCCGCTCCTTGGCCAAGTCATCATGTGTCGCCCCTCACATCGCGAGATAATGCGAACCGTCATTCAGGTCAATCATCACCGTTCCCCTCAATCTTCACGCGGCTGCCTTCTAACACCAGCGAAACTCTTATGCAGATAATATAACTTTCAATCAAGAGACGTGGACAATCTCGTAAGTTTCCAGCGCTGGATTCCTCCCCAGTATTGAACCCACACATCTCTGCCACCGCCCTTGATTGCCACGCGCGCTGCCTTCCCTCCCGACGCATGTCAGCGGCTTTCCTTTGTGGGCTCGTGCGTTCAGACCGTTCCTCTCCCTGCCCTCCTGCCCCTGGTTCTTCTCCCATCCTTCTCCCCCCCCCCTATGGCTCTCTATCCTCCCACTGCATGCGGTGTGGTATGCCCCCTGGCTCCCCTCACCATCCGTGCTCCTTCACCCTCCCCCCCAGGGCTGTGTGTCCGCGCGCATGCACGCGGAGTGGGCCAGGGCTCTCATCATTGCGCGCCATGCACTCACCCTCTTCTTCCCTCATCGTCCCCCCTCCCTCGCAGGGCTCCCTATCGTCCCGCGTGCACGCCGTGTGTGCGGCGTACGCAGTGACGGCCCTCACCGGCATGCCCACCCTCGCCCTCTGGCCCGCCGACCACCACATGCCCGCCGCCACCTTCCGCCACCTCTTCCGCCCGGCCAGCGGCATCTCCAGCCCCCCGGGGGACGTGAGGGAGCAGGCGGTGAGCGGGGAGGCGAGGGACGTGTGGGTGCGCGACGTGGCCATGGAGAGCCGCGACCTCAAGGCGCGGCTGCATGGCTTGCAGCAGGTGAGGTCACGGGCAGGGTGTGCAGGGCGAGTCGTGCTGTGGGTGAAGCAGTCAGGCGCATCTTGAGCCCTTCGGGGGGTGTCAAGAACAGGGTGGTAAGTGCGTGGGCAAGGAACGTGTAACGAGGCCAGATAAGTCACAAGAGGCGAGACAATTGACGGGTTGTGAGAGAAGAGGACTTGTGGCGGGCAGGCGAGTGATGAACGGAGCCAGTGGAGCGGGTGACGGCAGGTGACGCTGAAGGTGCGCCATGGGTCGCACGTACGCGAGGACGTCATGAGCCGGCTGTAGGGCGAAAATGTAGTGACCACAATCCCGTGCCTTGTTTTCAAAGCCCTACGCCCTATGATTCTCCCAAATGTCGCAGTGCGGTGCAGTATGGTTGCTTGAGCTTCTTGATGAGTGCAGAGCGAAGCACTTGGGTGCTTTGACGGCGTCAGAGATGTCAGAGAGGTCAGGTCAGGGCTTTCTATCCTACATTTTACACGTGCTTAGCCTCCAGTGGAAGCAGTACTCGTGGAGCCTTGGACGAGGCAAGTCAGTGGCTTTTCTGCAGGGTGCAAGAAGGGCCGAGATGGAGGCGATTGCCAGGGAGACATGCTGGTGATGATGACGATGACTGGCTGAGGTGCCTGTGGAGCGCTAGATGACGCAGTGGACGCATTCTCTCATCATAGCTGTGCTCATTCATCCCTCCCTCCTTTCCAACTTCCTGTCCTCACTCCCCTGCATCCCTCTGCACCGAGTTCTCTCACAGGTGTTGCTCAAAGAGTGTCCCCGAGGGGCCAAGAAGAAGACCAAACCGAAAGCCCTTCCCTTCCGCCTTTTCCTCTCGCCCTCCACTAAATCCAAGGTGCGTACTTTGTCCTCTTTCTCGTCATTCATTTAACGTATATTCATCCCCTTTCCCCTCCTTCCCCTCCTCGCGTCGTTTCGTTCTGCCTAATCCTTGGCACTCTTGGAGGCCGTTTTCTGATCTCTTCCTTGGTGCCGCCACTGCCTGCATCTGCCTCTGACTGTCTGCCTGCTTCTCACCACCAGGCGGACGGTGCATTGAACCTGGACGGGTGTGGCTTTGACAAGCACGTGGACGCGTGTCTGGCACGGCTGCGGCCATCCACGGCGGTGGGGACTCTCGTGATGCAGGAGGACCTGGACGCCATCCGGCTCTCCAAGGCCATCTACGTGTCGGTGCGTGGCACATGCACAGTGTGCGTTTTCCTTAGGGCCGGCTGCGTCCGTCCACGGCAGTGGGGTGGCTCAGGATGCAGCAAGATCTGGACGCCATCAGGCAGTCCAAGGCTATGTATGATTCAGTGAGTCAAGCGCGGTAAGTATGGAGCACGGATGCGCGGTATGCAGTGCGCGGATGCGCCTTGCCTCTGCCCGCTGTGGCTGACCTACCGGGGTCAACTCTCCCCTCTCCGCTCTACCATGCCATGCACTGTCTCCAGCTGCCATGCTTTCCTCTCCCCTGCTTCCCTCACCCCCCACTCTGCCTAAAGCCCGCCGTACACCGGCTGCTGTGGCTGTCCCAGGCGCTGCATGCCATGCGTCGCAGCGTCCTGGCCTTTCCTGTTCCCTCGTGAATCGTGTTCCCTCGTGAATCGTGTTCCCTCGTGAATCGTGTTCTCTCGTGTATCGTGTTCCCTCGTGAATCGTGTTCCCTCGTGAATCGTGTTCCCTCGTGAATCGTGTTCCCTCGTGAATCGTGTTCCCTCGTGAATCGTGTTCCCTCATGAATCGTGTTCTCTCGTGTATCGTGTTCCCTCGTGAATCGTGTTCCCTCGTGAATCGTGTTCCCTCGTGAATCGTGTTCCCTCGTGAATCGTGTTCCCTCGTGAATCGTGTTCCCTCATGAATCGTGTTCCCTCGTGAATCGTGTTCCCTCGTGAATCGTGTTCCCTCATGAATCGTGTTCTCTCGTGTATCGTGTTCCCTCGTGAATCGTGTTCCCTCGTGAATCGTGTTCCCTCGTGAATCGTGTTCCCTCGTGAATCGTGTTCCCTCGTGAATCGTGTTCCCTCGTGCATCGTGTTCCCTCGTGCATCGTGTTCCCTCGTGAATCGTGTTCCCTCGTGAATCGTGTTCCCTCGTGAATCGTGTTCCCTCGTGAATCGTGTTCCCTCGTGCATCGTGTTCCCTCGTGAATCGTGTTCCCTCGTGAATCGTGTTCCCTCGTGAATCGTGTTCCCTCGTGAATCGTGTTCCCTCGTGAATCGTGTTCCCTCATGAATCGTGTTCCCTCGTGAATCGTGTTCCCTCGTGAATCGTGTTCCCTCATGAATCGTGTTCTCTCGTGTATCGTGTTCCCTCGTGAATCGTGTTCCCTCGTGAATCGTGTTCCCTCGTGAATCGTGTTCCCTCGTGAATCGTGTTCCCTCGTGAATCGTGTTCCCTCGTGCATCGTGTTCCCTCGTGCATCGTGTTCCCTCGTGAATCGTGTTCCCTCGTGAATCGTGTTCCCTCGTGAATCGTGTTCCCTCGTGAATCGTGTTCCCTCGTGCATCGTGTTCCCTCGTGAATCGTGTTCCCTCGTGAATCGTGTTCCCTCGTGAATCGTGTTCCCTCGTGAATCGTGTTCCCTCGTGAATCGTGTTCCCTCATGAATCGTGTTCCCTCGTGAATCGTGTTCCCTCGTGAATCGTGTTCCCTCATGAATCGTGTTCTCTCGTGTATCGTGTTCCCTCGTGAATCGTGTTCCCTCGTGAATCGTGTTCCCTCGTGAATCGTGTTCCCTCGTGAATCGTGTTCCCTCGTGAATCGTGTTCCCTCGTGCATCGTGTTCCCTCGTGCATCGTGTTCCCTCGTGAATCGTGTTCCCTCGTGAATCGTGTTCCCTCGTGAATCGTGTTCCCTCGTGAATCGTGTTCCCTCGTGCATCGTGTTCCCTCGTGAATCGTGTTCCCTCGTGCATCGTGTTCCCTCGTGAATCGTGTCGTGTTCCCTCGTGAATCGTGTTCCCTCGTGAATCGTGTTCCCTCGTGCATCGTGTTCCCTCGTGAATCGTGTTCCCTCGTGCATCGTGTTCCCTCGTGAATCGTGTTCCCTCGTGAATCGTGTTCCCTCGTGAATCGTGTTCCCTCGTGAATCGTGTTCCCTCGTGAATCGTGTTCCCTCGTGAATCGTGTTCCCTCGTGAATCGTGTTTCCTCGTGAATCGTGTTCCCTCGTGCATCGTGTTCCCTCGTGCATCGTGTTCCCTCGTGCATCGTGTTCCCTCGTGAATCGTGTTCCCTCATGAATCGTGTTCCCTCGTGAATCGTGTTCCCTCATGAATCGTGTTCCCTCGTGAATCGTGTTCCCTCGTGAATCGTGTTCCCTCGTGAATCGTGTTCCCTCGTGAATCGTGTTCCCTCATGAATCGTGTTCCCTCGTGAATCGTGTTCCCTCGTGAATCGTGTTCCCTCATGAATCGTGTTCTCTCGTGTATCGTGTTCCCTCGTGAATCGTGTTCCCTCGTGAATCGTGTTCCCTCGTGAATCGTGTTCCCTCGTGAATCGTGTTCCCTCGTGAATCGTGTTCCCTCGTGAATCGTGTTCCCTCGTGCATCGTGTTCCCTCGTGCATCGTGTTCCCTCGTGAATCGTGTTCCCTCGTGAATCGTGTTCCCTCGTGAATCGTGTTCCCTCGTGAATCGTGTTCCCTCGTGCATCGTGTTCCCTCGTGAATCGTGTTCCCTCGTGCATCGTGTTCCCTCGTGAATCGTGTCGTGTTCCCTCGTGCATCGTGTTCCCTCGTGAATCGTGTTCCCTCGTGAATCGTGTTCCCTCGTGCATCGTGTTCCCTCGTGCATCGTGTTCCCTCGTGAATCGTGTTCCCTCGTGAATCGTGTTCCCTCGTGAATCGTGTTCCCTCGTGAATCGTGTTCCCTCGTGCATCGTGTTCCCTCGTGAATCGTGTTCCCTCGTGCATCGTGTTCCCTCGTGATCGTGTCGTGGTTCCCTCGTGAATCGTGTTCCCTCGTGATCGTGGTTCCCCTCGTGAATCGTGTTCCCCTCGTGAATCGTGTTCCCTCGTGAATCGTGTTTCCTCGTCGTGATCGTTTCCCTCAGTGCTCGTGTTTCCCTCGTGAATCGTGTTCCCTCGTGCATCGTGTTCCCTCGTGAATCGTGTTCCCTCGTGAATCGTGTTCCCTCGTGAATCGTGTTCCCTCGTGAATCGTGTTCCCTCGTGAATCGTGTTCCCTCGTGAATCGTGTTCCCTCGTGAATCGTGTTCCCTCGTGAATCGTGTTCCCTCGTGAATCGTGTTCCCTCGTGAATCGTGTTCCCTCGTGCATCGTGTTCCCTCGTGAATCGTGTTCCCTCGTGAATCGTGTTCCCTCGTGAATCGTGTTCCCTCGTGCATCGTGTTCCCTCGTGAATCGTGTTCCCTCGTGAATCGTGTTCCCTCGTGAATCGTGTTCCCTCGTGAATCGTGTTCCCTCGTGAATCGTGTTCCCTCGTGCATCGTGTTCCCTCGTGAATCGTGTTCCCTCGTGCATCGTGTTCCCTCGTGAATCTCGTGTTCCCTCGTGAATCGTGTTCCCTCGTGAATCGTGTTCCCTCGTGCATCGTGTTCCCTCGTGAATCGTGTTCCCTCGTGCATCGTGTTCCCTCGTGAATCGTGTTCCCTCGTGAATCGTGTTCCCTCGTGAATCGTGTTCCCTCGTGAATCGTGTTCCCTCGTGAATCGTGTTCCCTCGTGAATCGTGTTCCCTCGTGAATCGTGTTCCCTCGTGAATCGTGTTCCCTCGTGAATCGTGTTCCCTCGTGAATCGTGTTCCCTCGTGCATCGTGTTCCCTCGTGCATCGTGTTCCCTCGTGAATCGTGTTCCCTCGTGAATCGTGTTCCCTCGTGAATCGTGTTCCCTCGTGAATCGTGTTCCCTCGTGAATCGTGTTCCCTCGTGAATCGTGTTCCCTCGTGAATCGTGTTCCCTCGTGAATCGTGTTCCCTCGTGAATCGTGTTCCCTCGTGAATCGTGTTCCCTCGTGAATCGTGTTCCCTCGTGAATCGTGTTCCTCTGAATCGTGTTCCCTCGTGAATCGTGTTCCCTCGTGAATCGTGTTCCCTCGTGAATCGTGTTCCCTCGTGAATCGTGTTCCCTCGTGAATCGTGTTCCCTCGTGAATCGTGTTCCCTCGTGAATCGTGTTCCCTCGTGAATCGTGTTCCCTCGTGAATCGTGTTCCCTCGTGAATCGTGTTCCCTCGTGAATCGTGTTCCCTCGTGCATCGTGTTCCCTCGTGAATCGTGTTCCCTCGTGAATCGTGTTCCCTCGTGAATCTCGTGTTCCCTCGTGAATCGTGTTCCCTCGTGAATCGTGTTCCCTCGTGAATCGTGTTCCCTCGTGCATCGTGTTCCCTCGTGAATCGTGTTCCCTCGTGAATCGTGTTCCCTCGTGAATCGTGTTCCCTCGTGAATCGTGTTCCCTCGTGAATCGTGTTCCCTCGTGCATCGTGTTCCCTCGTGAATCGTGTTCCCTCGTGAATCGTGTTCCCTCGTGAATCGTGTCGTGTTCCCTCGTGAATCGTGTTCCCTCGTGAATCGTGTTCCCTCGTGAATCGTGTTCCCTCGTGAATCGTGTTCCCTCGTGAATCGTGTTCCCTCGTGAATCGTGTTCCCTCGTGAATCGTGTTCCCTCGTGAATCGTGTTCCCTCGTGAATCGTGTTCCCTCGTGAATCGTGTTCCCTCGTGAATCGTGTTCCCTCGTGCATCGTGTTCCCTCGTGCATCGTGTTCCCTCGTGAATCGTGTTCCCTCGTGAATCGTGTTCCCTCGTGAATCGTGTTCCCTCGTGAATCGTGTTCCCTCGTGAATCGTGTTCCCTCGTGAATCGTGTTCCCTCGTGCATCGTGTTCCCTCGTGAATCGTGTTCCCTCGTGAATCGTGTTCCCTCGTGAATCGTGTTCCCTCGTTCATCGTGTTCCCTCGTGAATCGTGTTCCCTCGTGAATCGTGTTCCCTCGTGAATCGTGTTCCCTCGTGAATCGTGTTCCCTCGTGAATCGTGTTCCCTCGTGAATCGTGTTCCCTCGTGAATCGTGTTCCCTCGTGAATCGTGTTCCCTCGTGAATCGTGTTCCCTCGTGAATCGTGTTCCCTCGTGAATCGTGTTCCCTCGTGAATCGTGTTCCCTCGTGAATCGTGTTCCCTCGTGAATCGTGTTCCCTCGTGAATCGTGTTCCCTCGTGAATCGTGTTCCCTCGTGAATCGTGTTCCCTCGTGAATCGTGTTCCCTCGTGAATCGTGTTCCCTCGTGAATCGTGTTCCCTCGTGAATCGTGTTCCCTCGTGAATCGTGTTCCCTCGTGAATCGTGTTCCCTCGTGAATCGTGTTCCCTCGTGAATCGTGTTCCCTCGTGAATCGTGTTCCCTCGTGAATCGTGTTCCCTCGTGCATCGTGTTCCCTCGTGCATCGTGTTCCCTCGTGAATCGTGTTCCCTCGTGAATCGTGTTCCCTCGTGAATCGTGTTCCCTCGTGAATCGTGTTCCCTCGTGCATCGTGTTCCCTCGTGAATCGTGTTCCCTCGTGAATCGTGTTCCCTCGTGAATCTCGTGTTCCCTCGTGAATCGTGTTCCCTCGTGAATCGTGTTCCCTCGTGAATCGTGTTCCCTCGTGCATCGTGTTCCCTCGTGAATCGTGTTCCCTCGTGAATCGTGTTCCCTCGTGAATCGTGTTCCCTCGTGAATCGTGTTCCCTCGTGAATCGTGTTCCCTCGTGAATCGTGTTCCCTCGTGAATCGTGTTCCCTCGTGCATCGTGTTCCCTCGTGAATCGTGTCGTGTTCCCTCGTGAATCGTGTTCCCTCGTGAATCGTGTTCCCTCGTGAATCGTGTTCCCTCGTGAATCGTGTTCCCTCGTGAATCGTGTTCCCTCGTGAATCGTGTTCCCTCGTGCATCGTGTTCCCTCGTGAATCGTGTTCCCTCGTGCATCGTGTTCCCTCGTGAATCGTGTTCCCTCGTGAATCGTGTTCCCTCGTGCATCGTGTTCCCTCGTGCATCGT